TGTGTGTGTGTGTGTGTGTGTGTGTGTGTGTGTGTGTGTGTGTGTATAAAGAGTGTTTCCTAGAAGCATCCTTGGAACCCAGAGAGAAGCACATTTTGTCAATGGCAATGATTCACAAGAGTGTGAGAATGTGATGGTAGATGTTTTACACCTTGTCACCACATTCCTGAGGTTGCCTTATCACTTCTCAAAGTTCTCTTAGCCCAAGTGAACCCAGGGAAATCATGAAACTGGTGATGTGTGGTTTTTGAGTGAATGATTTGATCATATCACAAGAAGTATGTTCTCTTAAGTAAATTGAATTGGCATACTTGTCAAATCTGAATGCAGATAAAATATTTAACAGCATTCTTGAATTTTAAGTGACAAACATTGAAACACATATGTACAATTTTTGACCTATCAACACACTGGTGAGATCATTACAATAGTAAAGGTAATAAGCATATTTATAATTCTCTCAAATTTCCTTGTGCCTCTTTATAATCCATCCCCGTTTGACTTCATCATCTGTCCCAAAAAAACCTCTGATCTTCTGTAACTTTAAATTAGTTTGCATTTTATATAATATTACATAATAAAACCATACAAGATACACTCACTTTTTAAAAATATTTTTTATTTGTTGAAGGACTTTTATTTTATTCATTTATTCATATGTGGTGCTGAGAATCAAAGCCAGTGCCTCTCACATGCTAGGCAAGTGCTCTACCACTAAGCCACAACCCCAGTCCGATATACTCACTTTTTTTCTAGCTGCTTTCACTCCACAACTTTTGATATTTATCCACTTGGTGCTTTTGTTAATGATTTGTCCCTTTAGGTTGATGGGTAATACTCCATTATGTGAAGATGGTACAACTTGTTTGTTAACATTTGATGGACATTTGGGTTATTTCCTGCTTGACGCTATTACAAATAAATTTGTTGTGAAAATATGTGAGCAAATATTTGTGTGGATATATACTTTCATTTTTCTTTGGTAAATATTTATGAGTGGATTGACAGGATCTCATGTTTAAATTTCTAAATCATTGCCAAATTGGTTTTTCCAAAGTGATTTTTGCCCTTTTACATTACTACTAATAAATTTGGCATAGATTTTTTTAGATAAATACCAACATCATGTACTATATATTTAAAAAAATACATTTGACTTCTATGTAAAGTAAATTTTCTATTATTTCAAAGGCATCATTAAAGTAATAGAAAGATAGTCTATAGGTTTGGGAGAAAATATTTACCAAATGTACATGTAATAAAACATATACTAAAAGTATAATGAAATCTCAAAACTCAATACTCAAAGGAATGACCTCAAAATAAAATGAACATTGCTAGACAAAATTACATATAAGAGGTTGTGAGGGGAATTGGAAAATAAACAAGGAGAGTAATGAATTACAGTAGATGGGGTAGAGAGAGAAGGTGGGAGGGGAGAGGAGGGGGGATAGTAGGGGATAGGAAAGGTAGCAGAATACAACAATTACTAAT